GTTTCTGATCACTTAAACCAGTTTATGTGCAACTTCTATCACTAGCCAAGAAGACTGTGATCATTTAGCAAGGGGTGAAAAAAAAACAATACTTGACAGCATTCTGGAGGATAAATCTCTTGGTGTCATTGACAGTTTTTGCTACCTGGGTTCCATGATTAACAGGAATCTTAACTTTCAGACTGAACTAACAGAAATGGAAAAGCAGCTAAGAATTTGGGGCTATAACAGAAACATGCATGGAGTAAAAGCAAGCTATCAGCTACGGTAAAGATAGAAACGTAGGAGACTTGTGTGCTGTCATCCCTTATTTATCATTCAGAAGCATGGACTACATGTGCTAGGCATATCAAGAGACTAAAAAGCTTCCACATGAGATGTCTGCGTAAGATCCTAAAAATAAAGTGGGAAGACAGAATACCAAACACGGAGGTACTGGAGCACACAGGACTTACACACTTAGAAACCACTATCAAAAAGAAAAGGTTACAACAGATCGGCCTGTCAAGGGAATGGGAGAAGACAATATGATAAAAAATATTTTGTATAGTGAGATTCAAGACAGCCCTGGAAAGTGAGGTCACCCTCTGTGGCAGTACCACAATATGTGCAAAAATAATATGAAGTCATTTTACATCAGCGTAGAAAGCTGGGAGGAGGGTGCAGAATCCCATGCAATCTGGAGGGAATATCTGGTACTGGATAAAGCTCAACAGAAAGCAGCTTTGATCCAGAGGATGGAAGCAATGCGAGAAAGCAGCAGCAGTATGCTGTAAATCTGGACTCCAACTCAGACCACATATAGATCTGTGAAACTTGTAACAAGCTGTGTCGCTCAGGAATTGCACCTGTCAGCCACAAATGGATTCATCAGGCATCTGACTAGACCTGTTAAGTATACACCATGAAGGTGCACACCTATTCCATGAATACTAGCCTCGTGCATCAGTCAAGATGATTGTGACATTTTATTATAGAATTAAACTAAAAACTTCTGGAATGTTCTGTACAGATATTTTTTAATATCCATAAATTAAAGAAAGAAAGACTGGTCACAAATACCTGAATTAAATGGTAGGATGAGTTAGTAGTAACTGCAAACTTTGTACTATTGATGAAAGCTGACATATTTGTACTTTGGTCTTGTCTTCACTAAAGAAAGAGCTGTTTTCTTAACATGTTAATTAACTCAAGGTAAAACCCTACTAAAGTCAAGACAGCTGTGGAGTAGTTTAAAGAGCATGATAAAGTCCATGTTTGCCAGTTGTTTTTACTTCAACCTGCCACCATATGAAAATCAAACTCCCTTGTCTTCACAAGGAATTAAGTTAAGTTAAGTTAAGTTAACACCTAACTTACAGGTGTTAACTAACTAACTATATGAGGTAAAAGCAACCCTTTATTCCTAGGGAAGACAGGTTCCTGGATAAGAACTTTAACTTCAGCAAATTAAAGGCTTTTATTTAAGAAAATAATAGAAGTCTTAAGAGGAAGTGAATATCATTTGATGTGATTCCATGATCTCAGCCAAAAGAGAAACATGTAAAAAAAAACTAGCATACCAAATTGAGAACATGAATGCTATTCAATGAATCCTGCTGCTGATAAAATAGGTAACAACCTTAATGAGGTTTCTGCTAACTAGACCATTAACACTGAAAATATGGCATTTTATTACATGTGAGCTTCTCCTTGGCTCACACATATATTCAGAATCTGACCCAAAATTTCTGTACCTAAGTGTTTTTGATCATTTTTTTTGCAAAGCGCACTATATTTCAGAAACGGCATTAATTACTGATCACTGAATAGTAAGAACTTTTTTCTTCATGATAGAATTAAAAATATTTCAAGATAACAAATAAACACTATTATTACTATGGCTTCATATTTTGGGTTCTCATTATAGCAAACCAGCTGTCCACAAAGCTCAATTTAATTAAATACATAGGCTCCATTGATAAAACATCTCTTTAAACTGATATCTCCCATATACTTTTAAATAAAGTGCACACCATTTTTATTTTACACTTTCTACCAAGACATTAAATATGATTCTTCAATGAAGGATGCTACATTAGAATTCCAGTTCGTGTGTGTGTGTGTGTGTGTGTGTGTGTGTGTGTG